GGCCTCAGCATGGCCGCACAAGCAGTGCATTGGTGCGCGCCCGTGATCCGAACCCGGGCCACCAGCAGCGGAGCGTGCGCACTTAACCGCTAAGCCACGCGGCCGGCTCTATCAGGAGTCTTAAAGATAATTTTCCTTTCCCAGATATCAGGGTCATGTTGACCTGCTAATTTGCAACTATCTCTTTGAAACTTTGATGAATATGTATCCTGGGCATATTTGATGTATGTTCTTTCTTCTAGAAAGGTACAAAACTGTACAGAAAACTATGCTTCTCCAGGACACGTTCTTCCTTTGTGGAAACTGCCTTCCTGGGTTATGGTCCTCAGCAGGGCTCAAGTAAAATTCACCTTATGTCTCCTATCTATAGAACTGTCATTGGTTATTTGTGTCAACAATCATAACAATATTGAGGGAAAACTTTAAGTCCCAAAAGATTATATGCAGCATGATACCCTTTTTCTTTTCTTTTATTTTTTTGTGAGGAAGATCCGCCTTGTGCTAACATCCGATGCCAATCCTCCTCTTTTTTGCTGAGGAAGACTGGCCCTGAGCTAACATCTGCGTCCATCTTCTGCTACTTTATATGGGACGCCACCACAGCATGGCTTGACAAGCGGTGTGTCAGTGCGTGCCCGGGATCCGAACCAGTGAACCCCAGGCTGCCGAAGCGGAGCGTGTGCACTTAACCACTGCGCCACCAGGCCAGCCCTGATACCCTTTTTAAAAGTTGAAAATAACTTAAATGCATATGCATTTTAGAAATATACAAGGAGTCATTAAAACTATATAAAATGAAAAGTAAGGAAATGATGAATATGAAATTCAGAAGGATGGTTACCTAAGTTGGGTGGAGGTTGGGGATGGGGTAGGAGGACAAGAAGACCATGGAGTTGGATTTAGGATATCACCTGAGGATGAGTTTATAGGTGCTTATTATATTATTAAAGGTAGTTACATATCTAAATAAAAGCAGGCCACTCATGCTGAGGATGTATTAGGAACGAAGGATAACGATTACTTCAACTCTCCTGTCCCTGAGATTGAAAAAAGAATAAGAAAATTCTCATATGACATTAAATCTTGATTTTAGGTAATGTTACCGCATAAAGGGCACAATCTGCTTGCCTCAAGACAAAAGCCAACCCGTCAAGAGGCAAGATGGTGGCAGACAAAGGGCATTTCATTAAGTGATAAGCTAGCAAATTTGAAGATGGTGGACTAGTGTCCTAAAGAACCATCTAAAGGGGAGCACAAAATCTTGAAGCAGTTATATAGGCCAGTGGGTTATAGGGGAGAGGGTTAGGAATGTTGACCCCCTGCTGTTACAGACTGGGAGTTGCCACACCAGACCTTTCAGTTGTCATTGATGATGGCTATCAGCATAGACTCTCTGTCCAGGAGTCATCACGTTCCTAAGGAACTCAAAAGAACAAAGTTATTGTCTTATCACAGCTGGGAGGTACATACACAAGCAGGGGTCATAAAATCTACAGAGCAGGTAGATCTTCTGGAGGGTGCATATCCAGCTGGGTTAGTTAGTCAGAGGTCATTCAAAGATACAATATGGTTTCTTTGGGCCGGCCCGGTGGCTTAGCAGTTAAGTGCGTGCGCTCCGCCACTGGCAGCCCGGGTTCGGATCCTGGGCGCGCACTGACGCACCACTTCTCCGACCATGCTGAGGCCACGTCCCACATACAACAACTAGAAGGATGTGCAACTATGACATACAACTATCTACTGGGGCTTTGGGGAAAAAAAAAGGAGGAGGATTGGCAATAGATGTTAGCTCAGAGCCGGCCTTCCTCAGCAAAAAAAACAAAAGAGGAGGACTAGCACCGATGTTAGCTCCGGGCTGATCTTCCTCACAAAATAAATAAATAAATAAATAAATAAAAAATAAAATAAAATACAAAATTAAAAAATATATATATATGGTTTCTTTTCTACAATATGGCTTCCCTTATGTCAAACTTGTGTTGAGCTGGTATTAGTAAGAGTTTTAACATGTGTCTCAAAAATATGGATTTCAAGAGATGCATCCCACCTAATAACAACAATTTAATTGCCAAGGTCAGTTAAGTTTGCCACTTTTTTTGTTCACCTTGGTTGGTAAGGCATTCTAAGAACAGGCTTCTCAAACCCCATCTCCTCCCCACTGTTCTGCCCCAAATACCCTCCACTCCCACAAAAGCCTGCCCTGGGAGATTTCAAAGCTGATGGGAAGGAAAGTGTTTATTTGAAGTGGGATATTTAGCAGTGAAATTTAA